ATTATTTTGAACAAGACCGTTTCGAACAGAAACCGCCCAAACGAAACAATGAGCACCAACACACCCAGCGAGGACCTGCGCGATGCCGTGTGCGATGGCGCGACAGCGCAAATCGTGGAGTTGATTGCAAGCGGAGCAGATGTCAACTTTATCGACGAGGACTCAGGCTGGGCGCTCGTCCTGTGGGCTGTGAAAGCTAACCAAGTGGCGGCACTGGACCTCCTCCTACGTCATGGCGCCAACGTCAACGTCTGCGACTCGTCCGGCAACACGGCGTTGCACAAGGCTGCTTACTTAGGGTATGGCAAGTGCGTGAGTCTCCTCTTACGGCATGGCGCAGCGGTCACAAGTCTCAACAAAATGCAACAGACACCACTAGATCTTGCCACGCTCTTCGACAAGCCAGATATGGCTACCTTGCTATCCCAGCCTTCAACTGCGTCATCAACTTAATCAAGACTCAACTCGAATCGATACAGTCTTAATTTGTGAATGTGACCGTAATTTATGTCACTTCTATCCATATCCCGCCCGGTTCGTCGGCTAAACCACTCGAAATTAGGTGGCCCTGCCGGGTGACGCCCAGATCCAGGGCGGCACGGCAAGAAGCGGCATGTGCATGACCTAAACTCATGCTCAATCCCGTTGAATATTGTTTAGCCATTGCTCGTCCAAACACCAGCGGTCAATGGCACTTGGTGGTAAGGCACTTCGTGAGTTGAATCAGGACACAGTCACGTGAAACTGCGTACGGAGGAGGTGCAGTGCAAAGATAGCTTTGGCATGCGACGGGTCGGTGGCCAAGACGGACGTAAACTGTGCAAACGTCATTGCCACTGCGGTAAAACGAGGAAGAAGGTGGTGACGTACGAGGGACGCGGCCACATCTGGGCGGCCCAAGTGCCAGTGCGCCAACCCCGCGTTGTACATGGCTTTCGGGTGGTGCGGGTGCATCGCATTGGCCAGCTCAAACGCTTCCAACGCCTTGTCGTACTGGCCCTGGCTGAGATACGTCGCTCCAACGTTTACCACGACCGACGCAAACGATCCACCTACTCGAATTATCAGTTCCACACGGAATTTGCTGGAAATCCTCGACGCATTACTCGTTGGAATGTCCAAGGCGCTCTCGTACGCTTCTCGCGCGGCGTCGTAGTTGTACTGGGAGTGAAGATGCAGGCCACGACAGAACGACGCTTGGACTGTCCGGAGCAAGTACTCGTTTTCGTCACGCTGTATGAGCTTAACGTCCAACGAAGCGTCGTCGTCGGGGTGCTGCGGCGGAGCGTTGGCCATTCCGGATGTCGCAACGGGGAATGTCTCGTTGTCGAGCTGCTGCGGCGTGGAGACTTTGAGAATTCGACGAAAGTAGCGCTGCAAACATTTGGCTGCCCGATGGTCTCTGAGTGTGGTGGGAGAGAATTTTTTCTGGCTGGGGGGCTTGGTTGTTGATCGTGCTTCGACTTCGTTATTGGTTTCATGTGGGTGCATTGCAGGCGCACTAGATGAGGCCGAAGACTCAGCCGTCAGCCGGCTACCGGGACTGCTTTTGCCAGTCGAGCCACTGCGCTTGACGAGTTGCTTCATTTTTCCGTGGGTTGCGTCGACTCGCTTGGCTGTGGCGATGGGCTCGACAAATAGCGGGGACGAGCGGTAAGCGCCAAGTGTCGGGGACGCCAACACCATGGGCGTCAAGCGCTTGATGGACGAACGATTCTTCCGTCCTGAATGATGCGTTTGTAAATTCTGACTGACGCAATCTGCAAGATCGAGCCCACGTACGCAAAGTCGACTGGCTCGACGACGGTTTGCACGGTAAATCGGCGCAGGTGACTTCAATCGTCAGCTGATCGAAAGTCGGACAGCTTTCGGGGCGAAGCAGTGGCGCCGGTGCCAAGTCGTCCACGGTCCTTCCAGAGCTAACGAACGCCAACGTCGTGCCGTTGGCAGTTAGTGTCGGCACTTTGGGACTTGACAACACACGTCGAAGTCTTGAATGCGACAGCTCGGGGGTGCGGCTTCGCTCGGCCAGTGCTTGCGATTTTGCACTGACCTACTTGTCGTGTGAGCTCTGTGCGAAAGAGATGTCGTGGAGGAGCTCCGACAACAGTCTACGTGGCCTACCAATTGAAATGGCTCGAGGGGGCTCGCGTGGTGCTTTGTGCAGCTAGACTCCCCCGTGGCTGGGGCCCACAGCGCCGCGGGCGACCTTGTCGGCGACGAGTCGTTGCTAAAGTAGGCAATCTCGAATGCGGAGGGCTTTCCAGGCTTCGCACCCGTCGATACCGCCATAGTTCTACGGCAAAACCGTTGAGCCCCAGGTCTGGTATTTGTGCATAAGTGAGAAACGCCACGTGCCTCAGGGTTTGAAGCAGCGACGTGGCGTACTGCGTAAGTCGTTCCTCATTGGGGTGCAAGGCCATTGTCTTTGCAATTAACGCCCCCGCTGATTCCTGCTTTCAAACGGGAACGTTAGAAGGACGATCATGGGGGGGATTGAAGCTACACTGACCCGCACTAACACTTGGGCGTGCTCCACTGCGAGTTTGGCCAGCAACAGCATCACGTGCATGATATCGGTCTAGAGGTAGAGCTTAGACCAAACGCATTCGATGCGAGAGGCGGACTTGAAGGACGGTGTGGAACCGAAACTCGCGCACGAGTTTGAGCAGAAATGGGGTGATGTTGTCCGTCATGAGCGTTTGCAGCGTGTAGTCGGAGGGGTCGTGGCGCAGGACGTACAGCAGCTCATGCACGCACACGACTTGGACGCGGTCTTCCTGTGGCTTGGATCGCATCAACGTCACGATTCCTGCGCGAGTGGAAAACGATGTGAAGAGATCGATGGCCATGAATTGTTCCGAATCAAGTCGTACCATCGACATCGCCTCGTTCGACACCCAAATGTTTGAGAATTTCCGCCTGCAGGGGGAATTTTGTTAGGCACGACGACTCCAGTAGCACGTAGCGGGGGTGGAACGCCATTACCGAATGCATGACGAGCCCCATCGCGTCGAGATGAAACAATCCGTCGTTGGAAATACAAGGGTTCAATGACGATGCCTTCATGCGGTCATGCCGTTGCTTGGGGCGCGGCGAATGGAGCCCTTGCGACGATGACGACGACGCCTTGGCGCTTTCCATCACGCTGACGTAGAAGCCACCAACGGTGGAAATGGAAGTATTCGCCGCATTGGTCGCATTGGTGCCATTATGCGTTGGCGAGGTCGATCCAATTCCTCTCTTCGACGGCCCGCTGATCAGGGACCGTGCGCTTGCGCTGTACGTCTCCGTCGACATGGTCGGTCAACCCAACCGCCCACGTTGGCCTTGTACAAACTATATTAAGCTAACGTTACTCGGTCAGGACGGGTCGAGAGGGGCTCGCTAAGAGGGAGCCGCCTTTTGGCCACCGTAGCTGGCTGCGTCCGTGGTATCAAATCGATTGGCAAAGTGCACGGAGGCGTGAACGCTCGATTCGGAATGCAGTCGACAATATGGTTCAATCATAATTGAACCTTCCAATTCCCACTCCACCGATGTGGTACTTGTGGCAAAGCCATTTGTACCATACGGCTTGCTTCATCTACTACAAACCAGCAGCTGACCTGATGGCGCTCTTTTATCCCCGATCGCGTGGCTATCCTGCACGCAGTGGTCGCTGCCTCGGCTAGCTCACGCCCTACCATGCTAGCTGAAGTAGCTGACATGTCATCTTGTGGAGGTAACTGACCGCCGTGCCGGCCGTGCAAATGCTCACACATCGAATTATCTGGACGCTGCAGTTGGCTTCGCATCATGCTAGTCGAGTTTCAGCAATGGGCCGAGTTTCGCGCAGCGGATTCGAGCGACGATCCATAAAAATCTACTCTTTCAGATGTTCTCATGGAAGTATTCCTGTGCTTCACCTCCCCCATGGTGTCGGCACAAGATGCTGCTGTCTTGAGCAGCTGCGACATCTCTTCCCAAGTCTCGTACGAGCCATGTCAAACATCCAAGGCGCGTTGGCTGAACAAGTGTTGGGAAACGCTATCGCAGAATAAGTTGGAGCTTGCAACCCCATCTCTGCCGAGCCTAGATCGGAGCCTACAACCCCATTTCCGTGCCGCTCAGTACGATTTGAAATGCCATTGATTGAAGATGACTGGACCTGGCACACAGGCTGGCTGGATATACAACAAGGACGGTCGGAGCGAGGCCACGGCGAAAGCTAGTCACAACGCGTCGTCCCGTGTAACAAGTTGGGTATCCACTGGGAAAGTTACGCTAACCTATCGTGAACTCTGTTATCAAGAAGGTGGAGACGAGCCAGCCAAAGCTTGACTGGCGACCGTGTGCGCAATGGAGAGAGCTAGAACTCGGTTGTACTTCCTTCGTCCAGTCCATCCATGTCGGCACTCAAGTTGAAGTTGCCTTCAAATTCGCCTGAAACTAGGTGAAGTGTCCTATTTCGGTCCCAATTGGGGTAAAATCAGGTTGGGCTTAGGTGAAACGACACAATCAAAGGTTGGATTGAGCAATCGTCGACCTATTCGACAAACTCGGCAGCGAATGCTCACCAAGGGTGTGCTTCACTCGCTGGCGGCGAATGCTGGATGGGGCTTCGCGCCCATCTTCTGGAAGCAACTGACCGCCGTGCCGTCCGTCCAAATGCTGACCCATCGAATCGTCTGGTCGCTACTGTTACTACTCATCATGTTGGTGGTGTCGCGGCAGTGGACCGAGTTCCGCGCGGCAGCGTTTGAGCGGCGCGCGTTGGTCATCTACACGTTTTCAGGCGTTCTCATGGGTGTCAGTTTGTACTTGGGAGTCTGGTCGGTCGTCAACGGGTTCATAGTCGAAATGAGTTTGGGATTCTTCATCAGTCCCCTCGTCAACGTCGTGCTCGGCGTGGTGTTCCTCCGTGAGCGTCTGCGGCTTTGGCAATGGATTTCCGTGGTGATGGCGTTCGCTGGCGTGCTCGTCGTGGCTATCGCGTACGGCAAGTTTCCCTGGCTTGCCCTCACGCTGAGCTCGACGTTTGGTCTGTACGGCCTCATCAAGAAGAAGGCCCACCTCCCGTCATTGCATGGGATCACACTCGAACTAGGCATCTTCTTCATTCCGTCGCTCGTGTATCTGGTCGTCGAGGAAGCGCGCGGAGAAGCTATCTTCCTCCATAGCGACTGGGGGCTCGATCTGTACATCCTCGCGTCGTCCTTCGTCACAGTCGTGCCGTCAATCTTCTACTCGTCCGCGGCGCAGCTGATCCCACTGACGCTGCTTGGCATCTTGCAGTACATCGCGCCGAGTCTGCAGTTCCTGACGGGGGTCATCGTGTACCACGAGGACTTTACGTTGTTCAAGCTGATCGGATTCCTTTGTGTCTGGGCTGGTCTCATCACGTTCACGACCGAAAGCATCTACTTTCAGAGACGAGCGAAGCCGCAAGCGGACGCCGCTCCTGATTTGGAGTGCAACTCAAAGGTGTCTACACAAGATGTTGTTGACATGAACAGCTGCGACCCTGATGACCAAGTCCCGTACGAGCCATGCCAAACCTCCAAGGCTTGACGATTGCCAGCTGACCACGACAGATACATAAATTGAGAAAGTACCAATACTCCCCCTCCCGACGTTCGGGCGGAATCTATCGCTCAGCTGGGACACAGCAGCATCAATTCACCGCAGAGAGACCGCGACGCATTCCCGTGTGGAGGGGACGAGGATTGTTCCAGCCCACAGCACCGTGGAAATGTTCTGGCGTGGGCTAGCCTGCACCCATCGCCATGTTTACCAGGCTGCGGTGTTTGGTCAGGCTGCCATGACATGATGACTGAGCCTACTTGAAGGACGGATCACGTACCTTCATCGCTCTTTGGTCGGAACTCAGCAACTTCTGTTGGAAGGTAGACCCTAGGCGAATAACCAAAAACGCGCTGCAATGGATCAACTGCCTATCCTATGCATAACTAATTCCACTTCGACTCGAGGAAATCGTGAAGGTTTATAAACATGGTGATGAAATGTGTAGGTTTCAAATGGCGCATACGCCGTGGGGTGTCTGTCGGCTCGTTAAACGATACACGGTCTTTCCTTATTCGATCGAAACCATTGCTCTTGCGTCTCCTCACGAGAGCTTCGTATGTCGGTGGCCTCGCTGCAAAAGCACGCGATGTCGCGTCCAGTGTACTTTGCGGCTTTTAGCATCCTCACGCGCTCGTGGTGGCTGAATCGATGGACACCATTGCTCGCGCTACTTCGCGGGTATGCTCGCGCCGCATTGGTGGACGAGATGTCGACTGTGGTTGAGTTCACGTGATGCGCTGCCATACCGATGGGAGGACCTGCGCATTCAGGGATTGCGCTGCCGCCATAGTCGAGAGGGAACACGAACGTTGTGACTGAAGAAAAGCACAAAGACTTCTTCTTGGACGATAAAGAAGCTCCATTGATGTCGACGCTGGCTGCACGCGGTCGTTTGGAACGAATTGGTGGAATCGTGGCCTGACGCGGTGACCGAACGTCGATGGCTGATGCCGTGTTGAGGATAGCTGTGAGGTCGCTCGGGGGTGGGCTAAGGAAGTTGATGTGACTGACGATAGAACCGCAACCATGATCCTGCGAAGCCACGCTGTCATCGTGTGGCTGCTGCATCGTGCCAACATAGGACGACATCGCGTTGCCGGCGGCAGGGATAAATGCAGTTACGCCAAAATTATACGGCCATGTTCTTCACTTGCTCTTTTGCGTTCAGTGGGCTGATTCAGTATGATAAATTTGTATTTAGTAAGCATGATTATACACCACTCTGATATATATGTGCATGTATAGATGTGATTAACCAGTTCTTAAGGTTTATCTTTGATATTGTATGTAATTTTGGCGTTTTGTCCCATTTTGCACACGCGAAAGGCAAAATGTCATCTGATCACTTGAAAGTGATCGCCAATACTGCACAAAATTTACTCGAGCCCCGCTGCGTGTCTCCAAAGGAAATTGCTGCAAGGTCAACATGGCTTGGAATTGAAACATGGGCAGTCTACATACATGTGGCCCGGATTTCCCCATCGGTAGCTATCTGAGGGCAATCACCTCGTGATTTCGGAATAATGGGGGGAAGGCACTGAGTTGTGTGAACCAAAGCAGCAATGCAGGCACCTTTAGTGCAATAGTGTAGGGTGAATGTATGGGGTGTAGATGAAAAACATGGGGGACGTAGACCCCAGTGCAACATTTATCGTCCAAAATGCACAGGTGGATCCATGTGTGAAGTGTGTAAGAAACAGGTCGGTTGTAGACGCTTGCGAATATAGATGAATTTATGATTTTTTCGATAGTATTTCATGTGTATTTTACGAATTGTAGTATTGTTGCATCACACTTGCCAGACAAATGAACAAGTGTGTACAAGTGTAGTGCAAATCGACAGGAAAGCGGTATTTCCAATCGATAATGTACTTCAATATGGCATACAAAACATTTGTTTACAGCACTGGCAATTTCACACGTGGGAGTTTATCATTTCAAGGGATTTCCGATTTGTGCTGACTCAAGCAGCATCTCGCAGAGTTAATTTCATTACGTACTAATCTTTCGCCTTTTACTAAAGATTACCGTGGAATTGACTCGACTCGATGCGACTTCAAAAATTTATGACCTCCCTTTGGGAGGACCCCTCATCTGTCCTACTTGTGGCCGTCTCAATCACATTACACATATCTCCACGACAATCCATTCCTTCGCGCCATCAACCACCTCTACCATGTCCCATCGTCATGTAGGGATGTATCTTGTGATGTCTCGCCGAGTTTCTTCTCCCTTTAGTTTCGACCGTGCGCAACAGTAGCAGTTACTCCGTGAAACGGCGAACGCACTCGAGCGTTTCACTGTTCAAAAAAGGCATGTTCAACCGAGTTCTGTATGCACTGGATCACTCGGTCACTCATGTGCCTGGCCGTTTTTGCCGTCGCGTAGGGTGTACAAAGTCGGAGCTATCGATGGTGCTGGCTATGTAACGTGTAGTTTGTCCTGCTACCCTCGGTATGGTGTTCGTGTGTATTGTCGAGTCGCATACCCTCGTACGATTTGTATGGGGTGGCGAAAATTACTGCTTCGACCAGCGCATGCAAGCCTTCATGAGGTACCGTCGCTGTCCGCGTGGTTCGACTCCGGATTATTAAGTTCATCATCTCAGACGCCAACGTATTGCGCGTGCCGAAGCAGATTCTGGCTAAAGTAGTAGTAGCGTGCGTGCTGACCCATAAGCCCTGAACTGGCGGTGTGTGTACTTGTCGCTGTGGCCATATACATCGGGCACTGCTCTCTTCCAGTCCTTTCTTGGTGTGTGAGTTGTCTGCATGTGAGGGCGGATTCATAACATATTTGTACGTATCTCGATTCTAAAGAGCCCTGATTCTGGCATGTTATGGTGTGAATATGAAGTACGTTATGGTAGTATTGTGCTATTATATATTGGTGTAATATGGGACTCAGTATTTGGGTTTAGAATTTGACCAACTTGGTCCCATCCACATGCACCGACGACAAAGCTTGCGACCGCGGCAGTTGGACGTGCATTCCCGGATCCGTCTCGTTCGCTCGGATGCCGACATCGACGTGGATTCAGAAGAGCAGGACGGTGCTGCCTCTGCTCCGAGCATCACGTCGTTCCAGGAACTGACCGAGGTAGCGTACGCCTTGAATGTTTCTTCCCGTGCATAAATTTCGGTCGCAGATGGCCGATGATCAACCGGCCAAGATTAAGAGGAAGAAGAATATTCCAATTCCAGTGAACAAACTTGTCCCCAATTACGAGAAGGACGTGCTCCCGGACTTTCACCTGCCTACGAGTTACATTAAGCTCAGCTTGAACTTCCAAACGTCATCGTCGTCATCCGCGGCACCCGTCAGTGCCCCTTCAAACGCCGCAACGGCCACGTCTGCAGGGGAAAAGGTGGAAGTCGACTTGGAGGTCGAAGATCTTGCATGGTTGCGGGAACATCCCCGATACGGCGAAGCTGCCGATCCTCGATACCAACTCACCCCCGACACATTTGCGAAGATGTTAGACCTCCTCGAGAAAGCTTCGGCGCTCATCAACCCAGGTGTCATTACACTGGCTGAGGCAGACGAAATCTTCTCCAAGCAGATCCACGTTGTCAAGAGTCCTTGCCACAAGGTCTCGACCGACGTGTACAACTACTGGGTGGCAAAGCGAATGGCCCTCAAGAGGCCGCTCCTTCGCAAGTACTGGCCGCAAACGCCCCTGAACGACACGAACCCGCACCTGGTGTTTCGACCTCGTGAAAAGGTTCGTGTATGGCGTGGGTTGGGATCGTCACGCCATGTGTGGTCTCCTTGAGTTGACAACGATGGTGTTTGTTTGAGATGCTGTCATTTTAGACCTTATGCCGCGAAGTGACACGCTATGGTCGTTGTCGGTAGGAACGGTACAAGTTGCGAAAACATCGCAAGAACGACATGGAAGGCCTGCGGAAACTGCAGCAATTGCGCCACGATTTTGATCGCGTGCGGCATTTGCTGGACTTGGTGCGACGTCGAGAAAAGTACAAGCGATTGCTCGTGGATTTTCTGGACGAAACGCGACGGCAACAAGTGCACGATTGCCTCCAGGCCGCATTGCCGTCCCTTCCACCGCGACAGCCCAAGGTACACTACCAAAAGAAGCATCAACTAGAGTCTCAACACGTTTCAAATTGTCAGATTCCAAGCGAAGACGACATCAAACCTCGCAAGAAGAAGAAGAAAAACAAAAACTTGCACTCGGACCAACAACTGCCCAGTTCGCTGCTTGAGGTGTCGCAGCCCGCATTGGCGTTCACAGACGTCCAAAGGGTGAAGGTGCCCACATTTCTGGAAAAGCCCATGGCACGACCTCACGACCTGCCAATTTACGTGGCGAGTTACCCGCCTTCTTCCACCGAACTGTACGCGGCCATCTTTCAAGACCCCCCTGTCTTTAGAGGGTAAGTTCTTGAGGATGAAGGATTTGAAGAAAGGGGAATGAATATTCGTTTTGCAGGCGTTGGCGAAAAGGTCGTGGGGGTCGATTGATCATGGATCGTGTCCCTCTGTATGGGAGCAGCCGAGAAGTTCAAGCCCCCCCATTCCTTGTGGATGACTCGGTACATGCCGGAACTGCCTTGGCACCAAAGAAGACGCTATGTCGCGCTGCAGTTGCCGCGATTTGCAGCATGAGTGACTCTGAAGATGAGCTGGTCGATATGACTGGAGCCCCCGACGAGGACAAGTCCAGACCCACCAAGTACGTTTTGGCTGTTTAATTGGATCAGCACAGAAGATGTCCTCTGGCAAAAGATATTTTTCATTTTGAATCCGATTGTCTAATTGGTGTTAATGAAGCTTATATAAATGTCCCCAATGGTAGTTGAGAAATATCTTGAGATTTGTATTGGCATTAAATTATCCTCAACGAGAATTGATTTTATTTGTGTTCAACCTGTTTCGAATTGAAGAGCCTTATCCACGATGATTGGTAGAAAAGAGGAACACTTCATACTTACAGTTAGGCACGACCAGCAACAAACACAGACAACGACGGAATTTAAGGGACAGCCGAAGAAATTTGCAGCTGTCAGTGAACAAACCAATGACAATGAAGCTTTTGACGTGCGATATGTCGATTGGTTAAAACTCTTCCATGGCGCGAAAACATTTTAAATTCGCGGGCAACATACATACCACGTGACAACGTGTCCACTCATTTCTCAATGCCTCCAAAGCACCGCAACCAAATAAACCCTCAGAAGAGGCCACGGCGACGCTACTCTCATGATCGTCAAGATGCAAGAGGCCTCCACACGCGACGTCGAAGCTCAAACAGGAATCCCCAAGAGCAACCTCTCTCGATGGATGCGACAGGCTACTCAACTCCTCAGCTTCGGCGGTACCAAGAAACGATTCAACCTCGACGGAGCTGGGAGGCCTGAAGAGATTCCCAACACTGCAGAACTCGAGGCGTTCATGCACAAGCTCCGCGATGCCGAGAAGCCAGTCACGTGCACACACATCGTCAACTTCCTGAAGCGGAACCAGAAAGAGTAGCTCGACAACTATTTGGCCACCAAAAACTGTGGGTATCAGTCCCTTTTGAAGCTGTTGCAAAGGTTTTGCTCGCGCCACCACTTCAAGCGACAACGTCCAACGAAAAGCAAACGGAACCAGAAGGACCTTGAGATCACACGAAAGGAGTTTGTACTGGACTTCCATAAGGCATTCAACGGCTTTAGGATGGACACGATCATCAACGTGGATGAAACAGGTATCACGTATGATATGCCCCCTAATGCAATATGGTCTGTTCAAGGTGGAAGTTCAAAAATTGCTTGTGGGGATAAACATTCATACCGTATGACTGCTGTCCTTGGTGTCCGCGCGAACGGGCAAAACCTGCCGATACTGTTCATTATGAGAGGAGTGCCCGGTGGGCAGAACGAGCTCGACACGTTCCCAATTGGCCACCACTACGCCGTTCAAGAACACGCCTGGATGGGTCATCGCATCTGGGCGTACTATGTACGCAAGGTTCTGCGACCCCAAGTGCATGAGCCGTCGGTGCTGCTGGTTGACAATTTTGATCCCCATGTAAGCAAGGAAGGCCTCAAGATTCCCAGCGAAGAGGCGGGGTGTACTACAATCATTTTCAAAACTACAAATAATACGGAAATGTAGTATAATTTTGCTAACAATACAGAAGTCAGTGGCAGGCATTTTCAAATCAGAGTGTTGGAGGTGGCGCTCCACCGACACTGCCATCTCGGCGGTTTCATATCTTTACATACGGTTCCATATATTTTGGAGAAGATCTCAATAGTGGAGAGACAATAGATAAAACTGCATCGTAGGAATCATAATCCTAAAGTTATAGGTTCAACCCCTATCTGAAAACCTGTTAATAAAAAAAAGTTGTAGTCACTCTTGAATATACTACGTCGTGCACATCGGAGCTTGCTGAATTTAAGAGGTTATAAGCTCAACACTCGACAAGAACATGCTTTTGTTAGACGAAGAAGAACTGGTTTACATGGTGTACGTTTATCAAGGGTCGGCTAATGGTAAAGGGCTTGATCCATACGCTGTAATGCCACTCGTCCACCATGAAAGCGACTGAACGAGCGCAAGTCCGTGACGAACTGGCATCGCGGGCAATACCTGAAGTCGACGCGGCAACGTACGCCCGCGACTCTCAAAAGGCTCTGGGTCTAATCCTAGAATCAATCAGTTCAAACCAATATCAACATGTGGATGGACTGAGCGAAGCTTTCGAGGCGTTTGGCGCGCTCAAGCTTCACCACGAGCCACAGACGCACGTGGACAAAATCGGCTTGCTTGCCGAGTACCACGGAATTCAATGGGAACCGAAAAGTGACACGCTGGCAGTTTTTGTCGAACGATTCTCCAACCTGGTTCGACGTCTTCGGGTTGCGGGATGCGCAGAAGACGAATACATGACGGTGGCCAAGCTTCTGGCCCTCATGCCTTGGTCCCTACGCATTGTGCTCCATCAAGTTAATTTGTTGCCTGAAAGATTGCAAACACTTACGACGGCTCGATCACTTTCGGAGGCTGAATATAAAGCTGCCCTCGGCAACGGAGCGATCCAATCTCTAAGCGCTGATATGGGCGATGTACGAGCACTAAGCGCTGTTGACAACTCGCGTGGCCAAGGTGGTCGCGGACGTGGTCGTGGTAGAGGTGGTGGTCGTGGACAAAGACGAGAAGGCAACTGCCACCATTTCAACAAACCAGAACATTGGAAACGAGAGTGCTGTGCCAAGTTGCGGGGAGATCCACCTACTGCCCCACCACCGACCGCGAAAACAAACGAATCTGGCAGTGCTGTCCCGAATTACCCTGATTGCCTGTTTGCTGGGATGTGTCCCTCCAACCTCAGTATTTGTCCCTCCGATGACAAAATGGGTCCCTCCAGTCGGAGCATGGGCCCCTCCAGTCTTGGTATGAGTCCCGCCAGTCAGTGTCCCTCCTGTCTCAGTCTCAACGCAGTCAAGGCTACGACGAAGATCATCATCGACTCGGGGGCGTCGTCTCACATGACCAGGGCGAAAGAGCACTTGTACAGTCTTGAGGACTGCGACCGAACAATCATCGTCGCAAATGGTCACGTTGCCCAAGCAACTAAAATTGGGAACGTTAGACATCAACACATCAAATGGGAACAATTTGACACTTACTGAAGTATTGGTCATCGATGGTATGCCAATGACGCTTGTGTCTGTCCCTGCTCTTTGCCGTCGCAATTCCAATTGCACCGTCTCGTTTGGCCACAGCAAGTGCGGCATCCACGTTGGCTGCTTGGTCATTGCCAACGGGATCTTCGAACAACCAGCGAACGTATATGTGCTCCAAGGCCATATGACTGTTCTTGCGACGGCGAACGCCACAAGAACCACAAACAACAATGACAAGTTAGCATTATGGCATGAAAGAGTGAGTCACGTACCGCTCGCAACACTCAAACA